AATATAGCTCAGCACACATACAGCTGAAGCTATAAGCGGAGAGCTTGTTTTCCAAAATTATGACTTACATCCATAATTAATGCAGTTTTCCATTCATGTTCTATCACAAATTATATAATGGAGATGAAAGAATCTATTGAAGTACAAAATGCTTTATTTCTCCCTTTTGCTAATCTTTTCTTGTTCCTTCTTGCATGACTATTAGAAACCTGAACAAACACAGCAACTAAACAACTAAAATAATAATCATTAGTCCTAAGTACAGAGTATAGAGACCATATTCTTTAGGTAGGAGAGGTTAAATGTGCAACAAATTTCGCTCATACAAAAATATAACACAAACTGTATCCCTATTACCAATGCATGAAAATATATGCAAAACAAATTTGTTTGCAGGTGAAACTTATATTTAAATGTGTTCAACAGATCACATTATGCATGAAATTTTAATTAATTATTCAACTTACGGGAAGATGAGGACCCATCAGAAGCACCTATCCCTGGTCTAGAAGCAGCTCCATTTTGAAAAACCTTCATGAAATGTTCAAATGAATTAATTAGAAAACATTATTTTAAACCACCACAGCCTCAAAGGGATAGCTCAAACTCCTACTTGGTCGGCAAACTGAGCATCCTTTGACGAATCTGTCTCAGTTGATTCTTTGAAACTCTCAAAAGGACTCTTCTGCAAAGTTTCTTCAGGAGAAATATCTACAAAAGCTGCAAATGTAAGTTGCATTAGAATTTATATTAGAGAACAAACTAAACAATCAAATAAGAATTTCCCAATAGATTATTAATTGAGGAACAGGTGGCTATTATTTGTCAAGCATATTCACTTCCTAAGGAAAATGCAATATAATGCACAGATACATGCTCATTGCCTGCCCATGCATGTATGCACTAGCATACACACACAAAAAAACAGGTACCAAATGCTTCAAGGTCTAGGCAAATATCTGTACAAGTGTCACCACATATCCCCAAGAAAGAGAGAGAAGAAAATAAGTGTCAGATATTAGGACCCACTTTCTGTGGTGTAAGCCCATTGTCCCAGCAGAATAATTCAGCAAATTTGACTGCCACTGATCCAGGAAATTTTTTCTTTACCCAAATATAGCTACACGCACTGCTTTACTTCTCTTTGTTACCCATATATGTGATATCATCTACCATGAATGAGTTGTATCAAATGTGTAATAATTTATTTGCATGATTATCATGTTTGTATCTTCAACTTACTCTAAAAAAATTTAAATAAATAAATACAAAAAACTGAAAATGCCCAAATTGCTACAAAGATTTTTTAGGAAGATTAGGGGAAACTCGTGTGTGAAGAGGAATCACTGAAATTGGTAGAGACTACACATAGTTCATATGCTCATCTTAAAACTACTTAGTGTCAGTTGCTGCTCGTTCTATATATCGACAATAAATAACAGAAAAATTAAGAAAGAGATAATTTGATACCATATTTCTTTGGTTTGTTCTCTAGTTCTGTGTCATCTTTGATATCTGAGGCAGGTGGGATCTCCACTTTGGTCGCAGCTACATCTACAGTCACTGCAGACCGAGACGCAACTGGAGAAGTTGAGGTAGCTGGACGTGATGCTGGGGGCGTTGGAAAAGGAAAAGGTGATCCAGGGGAGAAGGCAGGATTATTGAATTGGTTATTTTGTGAATCCATCTGCCCCATCAAGGTCTTGACAGCTTGTTGCATTGCATATTTCTGGAAAAGGAAAATATTCAAATCACAATTTGCAGAGACAAACAAACATATAGAAAGAAATTAAGTTAACAAATTCTCGTGACAAATTATAATAATTAGATAAACCGAAGTCTGTGTGTGTCTAAGGACATTTAAAAATATATATAGCCAATCTAAAATTATTATCAAAACAGCACAAAAATTAAAGATAAACAATATGTTCAAATGCCAAAAAAAAACAAAAAACAAACTTTTTTAAAATTGTAGAATTTAAAAGACCTGAAGAAGAGCCCCACTGTACAAGTGTATAGTAGTCAACACAAGATTAGTTACCCCGAGAGAGAGAGAGAGAGAGAGAGCAGAATGCAACAAAGAGACCCATGCAAATTAGATTATTGTTCACAAAAAAACTAAATAATGTAGTGAAAGATAAAGATGTGGTCAGGAGAGTAATGGAACCCCAATAGGAAGAAACTCAGCCCTAAAGCATCCCACACATAATACAACCTCCACAAACTAAGTTTTTAGGAAAACAGGAACCCAGCAACCATCTACCTAATTTCCTGAAGCATTTCCATCCAAGGAGAAGACAATTTAATCTCAATAATAGAATTTGAAAAGGTATCTATAAAAATCTTAGTCATCGCCGTTGTCATCCTTGCCTTTATCCCCCATATGAATGGGGTCAAGGGCCATCAAGGCACATGAATTTCTAATTACTTCATCTAATATAAGTTTTGGCCGGACCCTATGTCTCTTACCTTCTATGCAAACTATTCTTTCTTTTCTTATTAGTGCATCTACATGTCTATATTGTATCTGAACACACCACCTAAACCTTATTTCTTTCATTTTATCATTAGGAAGCCCTACTCCTAATTTTCGCTCACACGTTGATTATTAACCCTACTTTTTTAGGACTCCTCCCAACATTCTCATTTCAGTCACATGAATGTGTTGTTCTTTTTTCTTTTTCTTTAAAGATCTAAATGATCCTGTATAAATTGCTCAAAGAAAAATGAAAATCCACCATCCTAAAGACCAAAAACCTTGAAACATCACTACTAAACAAAAATTCAAGAATGGGAGTGGGAGTGAATAGGATTTGGGATAGGTCATTTTTGTGTCAGGTTGATTTATAGCATTAAGTAAGGGTTGTCCAGTCACCCCTAGCTTCGTATAACGAACAGCTTCAGGTCAGTTTGACAAGTTCACATCATAAATCTATCGAGTCCAACTTATCAAAAAATAAATAAATCTGTCGGGTCCAGTCCAGTTCGATATATTTTGGTAAGATTGATACATTTTCATAATGCAAAACCGAACATTTTGAAACCCAGCCAATATGGTTTGGTAATTAACCACGGACAGAAGAGCAGCCACAATTTATATGTGAACAAATGGTAAGAGTATTATAAATCTAGAAATGAACCAAGTTGGCGCATGTGAAACCAGACTTTGTTTGAGAATAGGCGGGATGATGAGAGAAAGAGAGAAATTTAGATAAACAGCTTCAGAAGAAACAAACAAAAAATGTTAGTCAAATGTTGAAAAAGAGTTGCATTCACCTAGCTGTTCTAGCAATATGAAAAATGCAAAATTTTCAAGCGAATAAAATAGACATAATTAAAAAATCTAAACTAATTGAAATCTAGATGAATTAACAGACTAAATTTGGATTGGAACTATTAGAATGCTTCCGATGTAAATCAATCATCCCTATGATAGTTGATCTAATAAAATTATCAAAATTTTCAATAAATTATACAAGGGAATTTGTAACAAGTTTAATATCAAAATAAATTCACATGATGGTCAATCTAATAAAATTATCAACTCTTAAAGGAGTGGCCCCGTATTGTATAATGTTGAAAATCAAAATTGTTAAGCTACACACACATGTCAGAAACATGGTTTGGTAATTAACCACAGACAGAAGAGCAGCCACAATTTATATGTGAACAAATGGTAAGAGTATTATAAATCTAGAAATGAACCAAGTTGGCGCATGTGAAACCAGACTTTGTTTGAGAATAGGTGGGATGATGAGAGAAAGAGAGAAATTTAGATAAACAGCTTCAGAAGAAACAAACAAAAAATGTTAGTCAAATGTTGAAAAAGAGTTGCATTCACCTAGCTGTTCTAGCAATATGAAAAATGCAAAATTTTCAAGTGAATAAAATAGACATATAATTAAAAAAATTAAACTAATTGAAATCTAGATGAATTAACAGAGTAAGTTTGGATTGCAACTATTAGAATACTTCCGATGTAAATCAATCATCCATATGATAGTTAATCTAATATACTTATCAAAAAAATATGATAGTTACTCTAATAAAATTATCAAAATTTATAATAAATTATGCAAGGGAATTGTAACAAATTTAATATCAAAATAAATTCACGTGATGGTTAATCTAATAAAATTATCAACTTTTAAAGGAGTGGCCCCATATTGTATAATTTGAAAATCAAAATTGTTAAGGTTGTCAGAAACATCTGTTCGACAATGTTAACAACTGGATTGATTTTACTAAAATGTCATCTATATCATTTTATTGCACAAAGCGAGGTTATTATTGTCTTCACATTCATTACAATGGTAGAATACACATATTTAAATTTTTTCTTGTGATGACTAACATATTGCATCCCTGTCAGTCAACTTTAACCAATGGGAGGTTTCAGTAACATATGTAAACCTTAAGGGAGGTTATAGTAATTTCCTTTTTCTTTTCTTTTTTTGATAATTGAGGTTAGAGTAATGTCTGAAAATGCAGGGGTAGGGTGTTGCCAAACCTCGAGGAGGTCAACATAATTACCCAAAATTGTTAAAATTCGTAGAAAAAAATAAGTGAAGCAGCCGTATATCACAGCTTCAAGAAGCTTTTTTTTTAAAAAATTTATATTCATACAAGGATTTGGGATTCAAAGTGGAAGCATCAATGGAAGTTATTGATATGATTGGCACAAATGAGTTCCACGGGTTTTGCCTCCACTTTCAGAGGAGCAAGGATAGATAATTAGGGTTAAATTTTATTATTTCGGTAATGTTTTAATTCCAAAGATATTTTAGTACTTTATTATTTTAGGGTTAGGGTTTGTTTATGCTTTGCCAATAAAAGGCTATTATGTAATCAAACAATTTAGTATTGGCCCATTGGGGAATACTAATTATCATGTTCTACGGATTTCTCTCTGTTCTTCTTACACTTCTGTTCTTGCTTTCCTTAACCCCTCTGCTGTCCAGTCTATACATTCACCCCCTGTTCTCATCCCATTTGTCTGTCTTCTCACCGTTTCTTCTAGGTTCACCTCTTCTTCTGTCTTCTGATCTCTTACTTTCTTTCTGATCCTACATCAACTTGGTATTAGACCAATCTCATCCTCCATCAAGTAGTATCAGTCTATCAGAGCACACTACCCATCCTCGAGGCACCTATCTGAGAAAGTCCTCTTAAGCCTCAACAACCTCCTCAGTATATACTATACAGAATCTATTAGACTATGTTTGTTATAACAGGAGGAAAAAGAAAATGAAGTATAATATTAGTTATGAGAGAAGAAAAGAAATGAAAAGATAGTGTTAAACTCTCATCATATTTGGTTGATTAAGAAAGAAAAAAATGAAAAGATGGTGTTAACCTCCCATCGTGTTCAGTTGATTAACGAGGAAAAAGAAATGAATTGAGAGTGTTGTTTGGGAACAGAAAGGAAAGAAAACTATTTTAATGAATTTGCACTGTACCTTTTACATTTAAAAGGTAAATTTATAGGTGAGGAGTGGTTTCAGATAAGACAGAGACCGACCAAGCTTTAATGTCAATTACATGCAATTGTTGAGCAAATAATTGACAAGAAAGTTACTGGGACTTTAACCACTGTTTATCATCTGCCAAGGCCTAGGACTCATGTGGTATTTTGATTTTGTTTCTTACAAAAATAAGGGCAAATTTGGTATTTCTAAGTTCTATTAAAACCTGCAGTATTTCCTTTCATTTTCTCCCATTTTTGGAAGGATAGCAAAACCTGCTTTTCATGGGTTAGTGTATCCCTCCAAATCCTTTCATTTCCTTCCTTTCCAAAATTGTATACCAAATACAATATAACATTTCTCTCCATTTACTTTCTTTTCTTATCCTTCCGTTTCTCTTCAACCAAACTAAGTCTTAGAGACATCTGGAAGAGGATGTCGCACACCACCCCACTCAGCGACCTAGCATGACTATCTTCAGCAATCTTGGACAGGCACGAGGGAATAACTCATATTGGGACTATCATCACACCAATTATCAAGTCAAAATCGAATCCAATGCCCACTCCCAACTACAAGCCAAATGTGCTTCAAGAACTCATCCACCCTTTCTTGATCCTTTTCAAACATCCGCATTGTAAAAGATACATGCCTGCCTAGAATAACAATCAACCATCTACTTCCCTTCTACTACTCTCTTCCATAGATTGTCCCTAAAACCCTTACCTCCACAACATCTCCCTAGCAAGGTTTGGTTGAACCACCCCAATCCTTCTCTTTCATTGGGAGGCAAACCAATTTCTAGTACATAAAATTTTGACATTAAATTATGTGTAGATTGATATAATTGTGACATCACAGTATACTTGAATTTCTCTCCATAAATTTTAATAGCTTCATGGTGTTTTAGATAGTGTTATCCATCAGCTGATGGTACAAGTTCCATACATTTTCAACTTTTTACCATATATGTGCCACTGCAACCATATGTTATAATAAAAATATGGAAATTTACCCTCAGATAATTGCCAGTTGCATATCTTTATCAACTAGACCTCCTGATAATATGAAAAGAAGAATCACAAAAATAAACAAGTAATTTGGACAGACATGTTCACACCTTGTAAGGAAGTCAAACTCACCTTTAAGTTCGTAGCCGCCTGCAATGTAAAACAGATTGTCAAAAGTGGATGAAGGTTAAAAATAAATAATAAATATTCAACTATAAAAACTAATAGTGTGTTGAAGAATCGTGCAAGTTATAGTCGTTCTTACCCATGAAAAAAGTGCTGAGAGGCCAACACCAACTCCAATCCAAAAGAGAGGTGACCCTCTAAAAAATAGAAACATCAACGAAGAATAATAAGGCATGAGAACATCTAAGTGAAAAATACATAAGTTAAAATAACACATAAAACTGTCGCACAATAGTTGACATGTAATAATTCAATCATTAGCATAAATAACAATGAAGTCAACAGAAAACAAATTAAAAGAAAATAATATAATAAAACAATAAGGACAGGAAACATTACACGTGTGACGACGGAGGCGGCACCGAAAACTGTGGGCTAACACCAACTGAAGATGTTTCTTGACTAGTTGAAGAAGTAATGCTTGCAAAACTTTCCTTTCCTAGCTTCTTTAACACTGTATTGTAGAAATATTAAAAGAAGCAGGAGGAAATCAAAACCAGAAAAATATAATGAATAGCATCATAGGACATAACAACGGATGAATTACATTCATAATTTCATATACATAAAAAGGAACATATTAAGGTGAACCAAATAAAGCTGTTGACTACAAAACCAGAGTAGAAGGAATAAAAGGCAACAATATTCACAGGCATTACAAGAAAGGAGCCAAAATCTTAATAGAAAGGAACTGCTATATTATTATCCCAATACATGGGCTTTAGGGGGAGGGGGGGAGAAAAACAAGAGAGAACAAAGAGGAAGAGAAGAGGAACAAGAAATATTGCTGAAAACTAAGGGAGGTAAGTCAGAGTTCAACACTCACTCAAGCACATAACCATGGATTTGATTGGCATGTTGAATGAAAAAGATAACAGAAAAAGAAGTCGTTAATCAAGTGGACCTGCAAATGTGTTCCACTTCCGATCCCGTGTTGCCCCTCAACAGCAACAAATAAACACCACTTGAAAGCAGAAGAGGTTTACTGGATGAAGATTAGTAGCAGCACCTTAAAAAAGTATTCAAAAGGTATAGAAAAGATGTATCCAAGACCTCAGACTTGATTTGGCACGTGTTACATGATGCCTATGGCAACACTTGGGAGTTTCGATATTTAAGATCGAGTTGTTGAGTTTTATTTTACTCTTTTTTTAGATTAATTTGATGTTGGTTCAGTTTAATGCATGTTTTCTTATGTTTTAAGAGCCAGTGTTTTGCTAATAATGATGCTTCATGAAATCATGCATCGTATTTCTGGTGTTGTTTTGTGGAATTGGACCTTTATATGTGGACTGTAGTAGTCAAATTCAAAGTTTCTATTTATGGAGTTCAGATCCCATTAGAGTTAAAATACTTGAAAGTATATTTGAAATGCTTTCACTTACAAAAGAGAACAAATTCTTGAAAAAATTTCCTACAATTGTGTTCTTAAGAGGATTGTATGAGAGAATTCCAAACCTATGTTTGATGCAAACAATATTCTATTTCTAGGTATGGTCCTTGATTTTTCTTCTTCTTATTCTTCCTTCTCTTACTTTTTTCAAGTTTAGAAGCCCATAGTTAGCCCCTTTTTTTTACCCATAAAATCCTTCTAAACAAGCCTAACCAAAAGAACCCAAATCAGGAAAGGTACTCTTCACAGCCCCTAAAATAGTCCAGAAACTTTGCCTGCCCTTAGCTAATTGAAACCTCAAACCCTTACCTTTCTTACACCTTTGACAAACCTAAAACCAAATATCTTCTTTAATTGTAAGCCACAAAAAGAAAAAGAACCTAATAATAATAATAATAATAGGTTTTTGTAATCTGTAACATGATCGATTGATTCAATACAATTGAAGGCTTTATTTTCTCTCCTTCCATTCTCTATCTTGGTGCACAAAAGTTAGGGATGGGCAAAGTTCGCTGAATGCAGGGTAAAACCGTAAAACATAATGAATGTCATTTGAATGAAGATTGCTAGGTTGTGGAAAGCAAAAAGGATAGTGGGTATGCTACATTTTATAAAATGTAGTACAATAAGGATGGGCATATATTAGGAAAGCATTGGGTGGTTCAAATGATAAGAGTCATTTGCAGTAGATATGGTGAGCCTAGGTTGGGGTGGTGGAGGAGATTCAGGCTTTAGCAGATATCCTAGGTTGTGGTGTTGGCGCTCTTCCAATCTCTTATTTAGGGCTCCCTTTGGGTACCTCGTCGAGGAGCATTTCTGTTTGGGATCCGATTCTAGAACGGTTTGAGAGGAGGCTATCAGGTTGGAAGAAACAGTACTTGTCGAAAGGGGGGAGCGTTACGCTTATGAAAAGCACCCTTTCCAATCTCCCAGCCTATTTCATGTCGCTCTTTCCGATGCCTATGAAAGTTGTTAGAAGACTCGAAGAGATTCAGAGGAAGTTTTTGTGGGGAGGTTTGGGTGATGAATTCAAATACCACTTAGTTAATTGGGAGAGGGTATGCACCCCCATCAAAAAGGGGGGCTTGGGTATTCGAAGGCTGGATGTATTCAATAAGGCGTTGTTAGGCAAGTGGTTGTGGAGGTCTGGGGGAGAGAGGTCCAAGCTTTGGATGCAGTCCATAAGACATTCAAAGAAAGCAAATTTAAAAAGAGATATCTTAAGAAAATAAATTTCTTCACAGCGCAACCAACCCAAGACCTTGTGAGGTCAAGTTTTAGTCTTAATATATACTCAGTTTATGTCGATTTTTAGGTTAGTACGTTGTTGGTAAATTTCTAATATGCTTGCTATGTTCTAGAGTACATGATATTTCTGTGATTTATTATTATACATGGGTTAGCTGTGGCAAATGGGTCATTTTTGGGCCAAGATGTTGTATTGGATCTTTAGTAATGGATTTCAATAGTTTTTACATGGTTTTACTGGTCAAAGTCTCGTAATCTCTAAATTGAAGTCCAAGTCATATTAAAGGTAGATTACTTTGAACTAATGGGCCATTAGCCCAATGGTAGAACCTCCCTATCTTCAAAGAAGAGGGGAGGGGTTCAAGCACCCGGCGTGGGCAATGTTTTTTTTTTTTTTGGTTAAAAGGGTAAGCTCGGCGTGGGCAATGTTGTGTGTGAGTACTTACCTGATCAAAAATAAATAAAAAGTAGATTACTTTGAGGCTATATGTACCTATATAAAGCATTTAATTCCACAATAGCATTTCTGCACTTTAGAAATTACTTGATGCAATTCTGACCATTAGTATGATGCCTTACTTGTTCTTTTTATCTTCTTTGTTTCTTTAATGTTTCTACATTTTTAAGCTATTGTAATCCAAAATCAAATCTGTATAACCACTTTTCTACCCTTAAAAGACCCTATAATGTTAGGACATTTTAATGAGAATCAGTTTTTTCATGTGATTTTTAATACTATAAGCTAGAAATACATAATATTTGATAAATTATGTTTGTCCATTTAAAAAAAAAAAAAAAAAAACTCAGTCATTATAAATGCATATAATATGATAAACGATTTCTTTTCCTATTTGAAACTCAAGACACATCCACTTGCCCCTATGGGGACTTGAACCCTCTACCTTCTATGGGAAGGTGAGGAAGTACCACTAGGCTACAACCCTTGGTGGTAAACAACTATTATTTTCACTCTACATATATATATATATTAAATTTGTACAAAACACTTACAAACAATATATACATACATATATATAATGTCTATCTTAACATAATTATATCATGTTTCTTAGGACTTTGTTTTATTGTGGTGTCTAGAACATAATGTATCTTATCCCATATCCATCTTAATGCTTCATAACAAAAGATGAAGAAAACTTGGTGACATTTTGGCTTTGACTTTCATAGCTTTGATAATCACCATAGATATTGATGATTAATTTTCATAGCTTTGATATTAATGTTTAATTTATCAACTGTGCATAAGAAAATAACATCAATGTTAACAATATTTTCACAAATCTTAATCTTCACTCTTGCAGTAAGGTTGTTAGAAATCAACAACTCCTCCAAACTTAAGCAAGCAGTCTCCTCTCTCTCTCTCTCTCTCTCCCATTTGCTTCAAATGACTAACAATGGGTCTCGCAACTGTTTGATCCCAAGTTCCAAAAATACAATCCATTTTTTTCTCAAGCCAATCCACAGACTCACTTAGTTCAAATCAACAATCACTTATGAAATTGTACAATTTAGTCTCCCCACCCAACAGGGCAAACTCATTTCATCAGCTAAATAGATAATACAATCCAATCTACTAACTCGGTGTTCTCTAGCAAATTTTGATATCTTATCAACTATAAATATCTTTGTAATCTCCTGCATGCACACATATATACTTGTATAAATGATACCACATGAACACCAAAATAGCCCAAAAATAATATAAACTAAAACAGAGAGATCATAAGCATTAAAAATAGCAGCCCATGCCATGAACAAATTCATATATGCCTATTGATGAAGATATATAAATATATATAGAGAGAGAGAGAGGGAGAGAGGCAAAAGAAGTACCAATTAATTTGGTGGTTCTGGGAGGGGCATGACCGTCGTTACCCTGAGGCGGAGAGAGAGCTGAAATGGAAGTTGCGGTTCTGGTGAGAGAGATTTCTCGACCACTTCTTCTGGTAGTCCTTCGGAACAGATGAGGAATACCAGAGGAGTACCTGTTTGAGACCCTATCTCTTGGGTTGGGAGACCAACCCACTACCATTTTCGGGGAAGAAACTAGGGCTAGGTTTTCCATCGATAATTACCAATTTATAAACCAACAACACCACTATCAAGTAGATATATCTGTGCGTGCAGTGTGTCTATATATATCAACAGAGAGAGAGAGATGTAGAAGATGTATTAGAAATAGGCTGAGAAGAGGCTGGTGCTTCTGGCTTCTGCCGAGGCTTTGAGTAAAAGAGTTGAGTGAAGTTTATCAGCCTGCGCGTGAGGATGGTAATGGGGCGGGTTAAATGGATGATCCGATATAATAATACAGTTTCGCTTCTTTTCTTTTTCTTTTTTTTTTTTTTTTTTTTTTTTTAACTTCGGATATTAACTTCCCTAGGTAAATGTCAAAATGAAACCATATTTATTATGTTTATGAATATGAGGCTTATGAGCTAATTTACAATAAATCTTAAAATAATAATAAGAATAATAATAATAATAATAATAATAATGTTGTGTTCGGTACTAATTCACATAATCTTTTTCAACCGATGTCGCTCTCACGTTCCGAGGTACTAATTCACATAATCTTTTTCAACCGATGTCGCTCTCACGTTCCGAGCGCATCCTCACACTCACTCAAATCCTCTCTATTTATGACTTAATTCTGCCGCTCTCACGCTCCCGCTATCGAATTCTCTTTCGCTCCCGCTATCGAATTCTCCTTCGCTCCCGCTTTATGTCATTTAGGTTTGGTATTAAAATGAAGTATATTGAATTTTTTTTTTTTTTTTTCAATCGACAATGATAATGTCCGGCCTCTTATTTCATAATTTAGGCACATGTAATCTTTCGTCTCACCTACGAAAGGACAATTACTGAAAAATTTTCTTGAAAGTAACTTCAACGGAATTAGGACAATAGACGTCAAATGTGAGTGAGATACCCTGTCATTAGACTATCCCTAATTTTAAGCTATAATAAATTGACAATTGCATTTTCTAAATCCTCTTATTAAAGTTGGAAACTCCATTGGAATAGAAAAATAGGGACTATTACATATTTTTTGTACTTAAGTACTCCGTAACTCTTAATGCCGCCTTTTGCATTTAGGAATGTTGAGTTCATCTATGAATTCATGATCCAAACTCATTTGAATTGGACTTTCAACCTCACGATTATGCGATAGATTCATAAATAAAGAATCCATAAAGATTGAACCACATCACAGTCTTCAAATCATCATTATCTATAAATAATTTAAATAATAAAAATAAGTTAATCATAAGTTACCAATTAAAAATGTTTCTATAAGTTTTGGACTCTGTAATTATTCATTATTATTTCTATCATATTTTGAGTTTATTAATTATAAATAAATAAGTATTTACGATCCTTTTTTTCCAACTGTATTTTGGACTCTTTAATTAGTTATTATTATTTTCAAAAGATTTTCTAAAAATTGTGGACTCTTTAGAAACCTATAACATTAGTTATTATTTTTTTCAAAAGAGGTTTTATAAATTTTGAAAAATTTATAAACCAATAACAATCAAAACATAGTAATAATAATTATAAATAAATACAGTAGTTATTTACGTTCCTATTAATTATTTATTTCTATCCCCTTTTTTTATTCTTTAGTTATATTTTGGACTCTTTAGGTTTATTTAAGTTTTTTAAAAGAGTTTCTGTAAATTTTGGAATCTTTATAAACCTATACGTTATAACAATCAAACACATAATAGTAATAATTAAATTCTTTATTTATATTTAGTTATTTAAGTTATTTTTTCTCAATTCTAAATATATTTTTTCTAATGATTAAATTTGTACTTTAATAATAGTATAGATATTGAGTGCATTTTGATTTACATTGATTGTTATTCATGTTTATTGCACATGTCTTTCAATTAGTAAGTATAAATGTGTAAGTGTGTAGTACTATCAAATAACTTAAGTTTTTAGGTTAGAGGATAACTATCTGACTCGTTATAGACCCAGTGTCACGCCAAGCGCCCGATCTGAAAGTATTAGGGTCTATGCAACGACTCACTCTACCACATGGTATGATATTATCCGCTTTGGGTCTAAGTTCGCACGGTTTTATTCTTAGATTTATCCAAAAAGGCTCATACTAATTAGAGTGACACACCCACATATAAGCACTTCACCTTTTCCTTTCCTAGGCGATGTGGGATTGTGTGGTAGTCTGTCAGTGTCCCGCACCCGCCACGGCACACCCGCCCACAGGGTTATCACAATCCACCCCCCTTAGAGGCTCGACGTCCTCGTCAGCACACTTCCGACTGGGTCAGGCTCTGATACCATTTGTAACGACCCACTCCATCACATGGTATGATATTGTCCGCTTTATGTCTGAGCTTGCACGGTTTTGCTCTTTGGTTTTACCCCAAAAGGCCTCATACCAATTGGAGTGACACACCTACATATAATCACTTCACCTTTATCTTCTCACGCGATATGGGATTGTGCACTCGTAGCTCGCTAGTGTGGTAGCCTGTCAGTGTCTAGCACCCGCCTACGGCACACCCGCCACAGGGTCATCACAATCCACCCCCCTTGGAGGCCCGATGTCCCCATCGGCACACTTCCGGCTGGGTCAAGCTCTGATATCATTTGTAACGATCCACTCCATCGCATGGTATAATATTGTCCGCTTTGGGCCTGAACCCGTACGGTTTTAGTCTTGGATTTACCTCAAAAGGCCTCGTACCAATTGGAGTGACACACCCACATATAAGCACTTTACCTTTCCCTTCCCCAGGTAATGTGGGATTGTGCACCCGTAGCTCGCCAGTGTGATAGTCTGTCAGTGTCTTGCACCCGCCACGGCACACCCGCCCACATGGTCATCACAGTCTATCACCCAGGGTAGGTAGGCATTGTAAGTTCGGATGAGGAAAAATATTAGAAGTGTCTCACATTAGATCCGATGGGAAGTGAGATGGAAAGACATGCAACACTACTCAATAGATTAAGATTTTAGGTCAGAGGGCAAGACTCGTCCCGTTACACCTAGTTTGTTACACCTAGTTTATTGATTTTACCAAAAACTTACATATAAACATTTATATATTTGTTTTTGTATATATGTTGCAACAAATTATACTTTTCACTTATTTTAAATGGGTTAATTCATTTTCATTTGGCCATGGTAATATATATACATATACATATACACGAATAAGAATAAGAAGAAGAAGAAGATTGGACCATTAAAACAAGCCTAATCCAATAACCAATTAGATATTTTAGGGATTACATCAGATTGGATTACATTTAATGTCTAATTCAATCCATTTGACCCTGATTCCAGTATCCCTGTATTATTCTTAGGTCTAGTTTGTTCCGCAATAATGAAATGAACACAATATTGAAATGATAGGGAATGAAATGAAGTTGGGAATAGTATAGTCATTCTTAGTTTTTTTGTTTGGTTGTAAATATGAAATGATGTAGAAATAAAAAGATAATCACAAGTTTAAGTAGTAGTAGTGGAATGAGGTGGCAAGGCAGTGGCGGTGGCGGTGGCGGTGGCGGAAGGCCGTGGCGACGATGGTAGTGGAGGTGGCGGTAGGCCATGGCAACGATGACAGTGGTGGCAAAAGGCGGCAACGATGGTGGTGGTGAAAGGCTATGGGAGTGACAGTAATCAAATGAAAGTTCATGAAATGAATCTTCATTCCATCAGTTTAGATGTGGAATATATATATTTTTTTTCATTCTAAGGAAATATTCATTTTTACTTTAAATTTCATACAAAGCAAATTAATGATTTTCATTCCATTCCATTCCATTTTTTTTTTTCATTCTAAGGAAATAGTCATTTTTACTTTAAATTTCATACCAAGCAAATTAATGATTTTCATTCCATTCCATATTTTTGTGCCGAAAAAAAATCTATTGTCGGTTTGCAAATTAATGATTTTCATTTCATTCCATTTTTTTGCACACCATAACTAAAAAAATTCTATTGTCTGTTAATACTTATCCATTTGCTAAAAAAATAAACGAAGCACTCATCTATTTGATATTACCTGCCACACTCAACAGAGAATAATCAAACCCTTACCAACCATTAAATGGATTTACTTTGTGAAACGTCAAATAAGAAAGGTTTTATTTATTTTTTATTTATTTTTTTATTTTTTAAACAATATATATAATTCTTATTTTTAAATATATATATATATATATATATATATATATATATAAAATTCTTATTAAGTTTAGTGTGGTTACTTTTTTTTTGTATGTGACAGTTCACAAAATTGCCTCAATTTTGTTTTATAATTCTTATTTTACCTTCATTTTTATTTTATTTATTTTAAATACAAATATAAGGATAGAATCTTACCATGGCCATCATGAATCAACAAATTTTTTCACTTTCAAATAGTTCATTTTGTTTAAGTTTAAGTCAAAACTTTCATTTAAAAAAAAAAAAAAATTATTTTCTCCCAAAACTTTTCTTACACAAAACATGAAAATAATATTTTTGCATGAATGAAAGTTTTTTATTTGACTTTCTTATTTTATCTTTAACATATTGGTGCAAAACAACTTCTTTTTCTTTTTTTTTTATCATTGCAAAGGTACAAAGGCCAAGCCATCAATATAAAGGCAAAAGCCAAATCAGATGAAGCCATATGAAGCAAAAGAAGAAAAAATAAAGAACAAGCTCAGAACCGCCAAACTCCATATACAATATCAACAATGAATATATTCCAACTCCTAAGAATGAACACATTCCAACTCCTTCACTAATACATTCTATTTATTTCTGATTCTCATATGAGTTTTTGTGTTTTTACTAGTTTGACCATTTTACTCATGTTAAAAATGACAAATGTAAAGTCAATATGAGTATAATTGTATCTATAATCACATTCTCACTATTAGAATTGGTTAGAGATTACAAATTTTGTCTATTTTATAACCATCCTTAGTATTGTTTGGCTCTTAAAAATCGTGGTCCTTTCCAAGTGCGGAAAGGAGGGTGAATGTCGAGCGTGCCAGGAACTGATGTCGTTCTAAAGTGGATATCCGAATAATTATCCATTAGGAGATTGTAGGGATCAAGCGATTGTATGAAGAACTGGAATTACCACATTCGAGGGTTCTTTTTGCCTTGAAAAGGACTTATGGATTACTCTATGACTAGTGGAAAGGAAAGCGGTATTGAAAGTGCAGGACTTCAAAGTAAGGTGCTGGAAAGTAAGAAAGATAAGTGCGGGACTTGAATTAAACATA